CCCCCCTCCTATTCCCCCTTTCCCGCAAATCTATCAAAAGAGAGCCTTGTTCGCCTTCTCCGGCCGTTTGGTTTCTCGTTCCTTTCTTTTGCCTTCTCCCTCCCTCTCAACCATATCCACAACCGCTTCACTCTTTCAGCGGGCATTCGTTACTACTATATACGCACAAGATCCAACTACCGGGTTTTTTTTTCTTCTTTCACGGCATATAACAGAAGTAATACTTTGAGAGAGAAAAAAAAACAACAGTTCGCAACAATGAAGGGAGGTTTCGCCGTCGCCGCCGTCGCCGCCCTGGCCACCGGTGCCAACGCCATCAACCACCGTCACGGACATGAGCTCCTTCACAGGAAGGTCGAGGCCGAGAGCTGTGGATGCACCACCATCTACTACACCACCACTGGGGAGGCTACTCGTGAGTTTCTTCCTCCCTCTCCCCTCTCCCCCCTTCCTCCATCTCCCCCCTCTCCCCTCCCTCACTCTCGACTCGATCCCTGGTAGGATCGAGTCGAGCACATCAGAGAGAAGAAGGGAACGGCAGAGACTGACGCAGAAGGCCAAAACGGAAAACAGTCGTCCCTGCTCCTGCTCCCTCCACCAGCACCAGCTCGTCCTCCAAGCCGGTCACTCCCGTGTCCGTCGCCACCCCTACTCCGGTCCAGCCCTCGACGACGGCGACGCCGACCCCGACGTCGACCTTCAAGCAGCCCGTCCCCACCCCCGAGCAGTACACCTGCCCCACGCCGGGAACGTACACCTTCTCGGCCACGACCGTGACGCTGAGCGAGACGACGACCGTCTGCGGCGCCACCAGCACGCACGTCACCGCCGGCACCCACACCCTCGGAGGCGTCACGACCGTGGTCGAGACGGCCACCACCGTGACCTGCCCCGTCGCCACCACCACCGTGTCTGACGGCGTCGTGACCAGCATCGTGACCAGCACCGAGTACGTCTGCCCCTCGGCCGGCACCTACACCATCGCCCCCATCACCACCACCGTCACCACCGAGGGCGACGTCCAGGTCCCCGTCCCGACCAGCTACGCCCCGGGAACCTACACTGTCCCCGAGCAGGTCGTGACCGTCACCGACACCGACTACGTCACCTACTGCCCCTACAGCACTTCCGAGGCCCCCTCGCCCACCTCCGTCATCGAGGCCGTGGCCACCTCCGAGCCGGCCCCGTCTGCCGCCGCCACCACCGTCGCCTCCGCCTCGTCCTCCGCCGCCGCCACCACCTCCAGCGCGGCCGCCGGCGGGATCGATCTCTCCATCTCTCTCGGCTCCGGCGGCTCCTCCGGTTCCTCCTCCTCCGCCTCCGCCTCCAGCGCCGCCCCCTCCCCCTCGTCTGGCGGCGGCAGCAGCAGCGGCAGCTTCACCGGCAGCTTCGGCGGAGCCGGCGACCACTACGGTCTCACCTACACCCCCTACGTCGGCGCCACGGGCGAGTGCAAGTCGGCCGAGCAGGTCGACTCCGACATCCAGACCATCAAGGCCGACGGCTTCGACGTCGTCCGCGTCTACTCGACCGACTGCGACACGCTCGAGAACGTCGGCAGCGCCTGCAAGAAGCACGGCGTCGACATGATCATCGGCATCTTCGTCAAGGCCAGTGGCTGCAGCCCCGACACGCCCGAGGTCAAGGAGCAGATCGACGCCATCTCCAGCTGGGCCTCCTGGGACCAGGTCAAGCTCTTCGTCGTCGGCAACGAGGCCCTCATGAACGGCTACTGCACCGCCTCCGAGCTCCGCGAGCTCATCACCACCGTCAAGTCCGCCTGCTCCGACTACACCGGCCCCTACACCATCGCCGAGACCCTCGACTCGTGGCTGGAGCCGTCCACGTCGGGCGCCCTCTGCGACGTCGTCGACTTCACCGGCGCCAACATCCACCCCTTCTTCAACGCCGCCAACTTCGCCTCCCTCGCCGGCACCTTCGTCCAGGGCCAGCTCTCGATCCTCGACAAGATCTGCGATGGCAAGAAGGCCGTCAACCTCGAGTGTGGTTGGCCCACCGGCGGCTCCTGCCTCGGCAGCGCCTGCCCCGGTAAGTCCGAGCAGGCCGAGGCCCTCACCGACATCCGCAAGAAGGTCGGCGACCGCACCGTCTTCTTCTCCTTCGAGGACGACAAGTGGAAGGCCCCCGGTCCTCAGGGCTGTGAGCAGTTCTGGGGTGTCAACTCCTACTTCTCTAGCCTCCTGTAAAAGAAGAAGAGCAAGAAAAAACAAGGCAGACTCTCCTGTCAAGGCTTTTTCTGTCGTCGATTTTACGTATTGAGGAGATGGGGCTCTTTCTGAACGGGGGAAGGGATTCTTTTTTTTCGCGGTTTTCTTTTTTAAACATCCCTTCCTTTTGTTGTGCGTTATTTTTTCTCTCTTTCAAAATCTTATATTTCACCAATTTGTTTTACCGTGCAAAAGAAACAAAATCGATCCATATAAATATCATGTCAAGCCTGTAATGAAGATGTTTTCGTCCGTTTCTTTTTGCTACGCCGGTTGGCTCTACGCGACGAGCTCTTTTGCCTTTCCCGGGCCATTCATTTAGCAGAGAAGAGCAATTGACGTTTTTCATTCCCAGGACATTTGACATGTATTATTCCTAATCTCCGTGTGTAGCGATGATGTATATGATGTATATAACATGTTTTGAACCTTTCTGGGTGTGAACCCCCCCCCCCCCCCCCCCCCCCCCCCCCGCGTATACAAGGCCGTTCTTGTTCTATGCAGGCAAATGGATCTACACATACTCTTTATGGATACTCGTATTGAAGTGAAGCTGAGGCGAAGTAATATTCAATATCAACTCGTATCGAGGACCTCATGTTGAGCCGTATAGGCCCCGCTCGCCCCTTAATTTAACCCAAGCCTCTGGGGTGTTTTCTTATTTTCCTATTTTTTCGTCTTTCCCTCTTCTTCTCTTTTATTTTTTATTTTCTTTCTTTCTTTTCTTATTTTTATTTTTATCTCATTTTTCATTTTAGCTTCATCTCCATATTTATTTTATTACCCCCCGGAAAAAAAAAACTTGTTTAGTATTATCTTTATCACCTTTTACACGCATCTGAGAAGCCATCGTCCAGCAGTAGCAATACGTGCATCTGAGATGTACGGAGATAGTAACATTCAATACCTGGCAGTGTAACTAACTCGTATGCATTCGTATCATTCATATACAAGTATCATTGTATATAAAAAAGGATGAAAGCAAAAAAAAAAAGAGCAAAGAAGAAGGCAAGATAAGGCATATGGAATTCGCTAAACAATGCTGACTAATGCGTCTAGTAACCATACCTGCTCACCGTAAATGCATCAGATAATAAAGAAAAAGAATAAAAAGAAAAATCCCTAGATGAGAATCAAGACGTGGGTATTCTTGGAAGAAAGAAGAAAAACCTTCAGCCAACCTGTAAAGAAAAAAAAAGCAAGAAAAGAAGCAAGAAAAACCAGAGAATAGAGGACCTCCCATCCTCGGTATTATATCCTGATCCGAGGTCCATCTGACTTGTACTATCCGATATATATGATATATATATATATCGTCTCCCCTCTTCATCCTTGGGCGTCATATTGGCTATGCTTTGTTGGGTGGACAAGAGAAAGACGGCGTATAAGAAAAAGCGAAGAGCAGAAAAAAAAGAGGAATAGAAAGCAAGAAAGCGTAACTCGTCGAAAGAGACCCCATCGAAAAAAAAAGAACTCGAGTTGATGAGAAGCTTGTGTGTGTGTGTATGGCTAGCAAGGTCTCAGTCAGGCACGGTGATAGAAGAACAGAGGCCGACCCCCCCCCCCCCCCCCCCCGCTTTGCCAAGGATGGCTAAGAATGTATATATGTCGAGAAAAAAAAGAGGTGTCAGAAAAAAAAGGGCTAGAGGAGAAGAATGATGGCAAGAATACGCGTGCGAGGGAGAGAGAGAGAGAGAGAGATGGTCAGAATGGTGGAATGCGTTCAATCCTCGATGGCATCCTCCCGCCCCTGGACAAGCCGCATCTCTCGAGCTGCAGGAGTCCACCCTTGTGAGCGTCGCTCACGAGGACGTTGAGCTCCTGACCCTCATCGGCAAAGGACACGCCGCCGATCTCGCCAAAGACGTCAAACGTCTGCTTCTCCTGGAACGTGGTGGCGTTGATGATGTTGACGTTGTCGGCCTCCTCGGCCGCGACCAGGACGGGCTGCCCGCTTCCCAGGGGTGAGAAGGCGAGCCCGCGAGCGCCCGCCATGTCGCACCATATGCTCGTCAGCGGGCTTGGCCTGCCTCTCGAGTCGGTCCACCTGCGGCTGTCCCAGATCTTGACGCTCTTGTCCTGGAAGCCGGTGGCGACGGTGTGGCCGTTGTCGGACCAGGCGCACGAGAAGCCGTAGTCGCGGTGGCCGTTGAGCTCCACCTCCGTCTCGCCCGTCTCGGCATTGGTGATGGTGACCGTCTTGGCGTCGCCGACCAGGACCCGAAGGCGGCGGTCGGGCGAGACGGCCGAGCAGTTGAGCGGGAACCGGTACAGGAAGTCGGAGACGAACTGCTCCGCCTGTATGTCCAGGACCCGAAAGCCCTGGTCGTTGCTGCAGATGGCGGCGACGGGGCCCGAGGAGCGCCGGGCAGAGTGCACCTGGACGTGGTTCGTGATGCCCACGACGCCCCCGGTGATGGCGCCCTCGGAGAACTTGGTCTTGTCCTGCGAGCGCAGATTCTTCACCACAAAGTCCCCGTTGAACGTGCCGCCCACCAGCACGTCGTCGGTGGCGTCGAGGGCCGTTATGGCTCGTCTGAAGACGGGGAACTCGCCCAGGTTGACGGCCACCTCCGTCTTCCGAGTCAGGGGGTTGACCCGGTTTATGCCCCCAGAGGACGCGTAGTATATCTGCGAGCGGGAGGGCGAGGCGACGACGCTTCGCAGCTGGAAGTGGGCAAGGCTGACGTCTCGGCGCATCATCATCTTCCGGAACCGGAAGTGACTCTCGGACGACGGGATCCACACATCGTCGCGGCTCAGCTGGTCGGTATCAATCGATGTCAGAGACGACACGAAGCGGCGGCACGGATGCACACCCGGGGTGGCAGTAGAGTGGAATGGCGGCGGGGGGGCATGTGACTTACATCCCACTGGTCCGAACCTTGGTGATTCACATAGTTCCTATACGTCATATACCTCCTCGCCCTGGCAGCGTTCCTCGTCGTCCCCATGTCTGTCCAGTTCAACCCTTGCGGGTCGCAGCGGTCGCCCTCGAGCTGCGGATATCTGACCTCGTCGACCGCCTGGTCCGCCTGCCAGCGGATCCGGCCGATCTCAGGGGGGGGCCCTCTCGAGTTGGACAGAGGTCCCTGGTGAGCCCAGAGGCGAAGGAAATCGACCAATCCGACATTGACGGAGCCGAGGATCATCGAGTTGGTGCTGCTCGGCATAAGAGGCCCGAGGTCGTCCTCGGCGGGGCCAGCAGCGGGTGGGTTTGCAGGCATGAGGGGAGCCACCGTCGGCTGCTCCGGGAACGGGGGAGGCGGCTCATCGAGGGGTGCCCAGGGCTGCAGAGCTTGGACTGCCTGCTGCTCAGCGGCGGCACCCGCCTGCACTGGACCGAGAGGAGGGCCGCCGTCCCCCGCAGACTGGGCCCCGGGGGCCGGGTCCGGACCGCCTCCGTATCCCCCAGAGCCTTGGGACGGGGAAGCGGAGAAGGCCGGCATGGGCTGCTGTTGGTAGCCCCCGTCGACGGCGGAGCCGTACAGGGCCGCACCGCCGGTCTCGTCATCCTCATCGCTCATGTCGTCGTCATCGGTCGCCTGCCAGTCGTGCCCGGGCGCGTGGTCGGCGAGGCAGGAGCCGGAGGGGACGTGTTGAGTGGACGGGGGGAGCGGCAGCGAGGGCGTGCGCTGGTCAGCCTGGGAGGCGTGGGCGGCCCGCGCACCGTGCAGGTCTACCGAGGCACCCGCAGCGCCGTCCTGGACGGCGGGCGGCAGCGCCTCCGGCTCAAGGTCGACTGCTGCGGCGTGGAGGCTTCGACGGTGGCCGCCAGGGCTGTCGTGGCCGGCTCGTGCGTGGTCGTGGTCGTGGTCGTGGTCGTGGTCGTGGTCGTGGTCGTGGTCGTGGTCGTCTGCGCTGTCGCGGTGGCGACCGTATAGACCGTCGTGGGGCGGCGATGCTGCGTCTCCTTGATAGCTCTGGTGGGCGAGCCAGAGCTGTGATGCAGATGGTGCTACTGCAGTTGTGCTGTCGGGCAGCATGGCCTGGTCAGGTCTCACAGAGCAGCACCCGCTCTGATCATGCTGCGGGAGGGCGGGATCGCTGGGATGCAAGCAGGTCGTCGGCCTACTGCTGCCCTACGAGGACCGGGCAGTTTCGGCGGCAAGCAGCGCCCAACGGCAGGGGACGCAGGCGACAGGACGACAGATGTGACCGGGTACGCGCAGCAACCTATCCCGTGCCTGCGTGTGCCTGCTCAAGAGAGAGTACGGTGTACGGGCACCGAGAGACTCTCTGTAGATATCGAGAGGCGCGATGATTGACGGTGTCTTTTCCAGTACCCGGTACGTCGTGTGCGTCGTGCGTATCGTGAAATATATCGTATGTCGTCACCGCTCGGTATGTGTGCGTGTATGTGTGTAAGCGTGTATGCGTGTATGCGTGTATGCGTGTGTGTAAGCGTGTATGCGTGTATGCGTGCGGGTTATGTGTGTATGCGTGCGTGCTATGTGTGTATGCGTGCGTACGCGTGTGTTTGTCTGCCAGTTCGCGTGTATGAGGCGTCCTTCCCTCTCGGTCTCTATCTCTGGCATCTATCCTCCCCTTGCTCGATATAGGTCTCACTTGTCGTGCGGTTCGTCGTCTTCGCTCTTTTGCTGAACGTATGCGGCTCGAGTCACTGGCGGGCGGGTCCGGCAGGAAGAGGGAGGGAGGGAGGGGTCGATGGGACTGGGCGCAGGGCAGGACCAGGGTATGCTTGTGGCTCGTGCGATGCCGTCGTCTGACCGTTGGAGCCTTGGCTGCTTGAGCCTCGAGGGGACTGGCTGCTCATCTAAATAATACCTGATTGTTGACGGGAAGAGGAAGATGCCGTGTTTCTTGGAGCTTCCTCTTGCAGGGATCGGATGATGGTACAGCAGTAGCAGCAGTAGCAGTAGCAGTTATAGTAATCGTATCAGTAGTGGGTGGGAAAAGAAAGAAGAAGAAAAAAAGAAGAAAAAAGAAGGGAAAAAAAAAGAAGTCGAGACAGATGATCCCCAAGGCTCGATATGGGCGCGGGCGGAAAAGATGGGGGTTTAAAGGCGGCGGCCTAGAGCGTGCACTAGTCTCAACTCCGTAGTAATACACACTAATCTCTACTTTCGTACTGATACTGCCTCCTGAACGTAAGCGGACTGACTACGCTGGTGGGGGGGGGGGGGGGGGGGGGGGGGGCGGGGGCGCGGCGGCATCACGTCCTTGGCAGGATCCCTCTGGTTCCTGCTGTAGTACGATCAACTTGTAATATTGCTGCTACTCGTAGACTGTAACCCGTAGACATCCGCACTCGCACTCACACATCGTCTCCCCCGATTGGACCGGGACCGCATCGGGATGGCAAGAGGGTTCGGGAACTCGAAGCCACCAAGTTCTCACATTGGCCAGAGCCTTACAAGAAGACGGTTGGGAGAGGGAAGGATGACAGTACTCGTACACGCGTACCGGACGGTATGGGGTATGGCAATGTCCAGGATACAGGTTCGCCGCTGACTCGAAGGCGGCACGAGCTGAGTAGTACTCGCAGCTTACGAGCCGGCCAGGGAGGGACCGCCATCGGATCGACAACCGGCAGCAAGGAATAAGCAAGTACTTTTATTTTTTTTTTAAATCGTGCAAGGCAGAGGAAACCGGTGATGGATTCCTGCAATGGTGCGTATCGACTGATACTACGAATACTACGTACTATGGGTAGTACGCTATCAGCTCGTTACCCGTCAATATTCGCTACTCGTCACGTTGTTCATCTCATACATACGCATGCATGGTATGGATACTGTTTGTATACTCGTAGACACTAGCAAACGACGCACAATGGTTGTTCCGTTCCGGTCCCGAGCCTCAGGCCTCTAGGCAAACATCGTCAGATCAGGTAGCCTGTATTATCTACGGCCTCCTCCTCCTCCTTATATAGAACAGGTCAGTTCGATACAGCTGCCGCGACCCTTCCTTCGAAGGGGCTGACGCAGCCGCATCATCTACAGCACCTACGCACGCGTGTGAGAACGATACCGACAGATACATCAAAACATATAGAGAAGTTGAAAGTCACAATAACCTACCGAGTACGAGTACGAGTACACGAGTACACACATGCGACAGAGACAAGGCGAAACCGATCGTGATCGATTAACCCGCAATGGACGGACCGCGACTGGATTGCCCTAAGCCACTCTCCTGCGCCTGTCTCTTTTTTTTTTTTGATATCCTTACCTCATTCTACCCATTCACAACCCTCCCCTGCCGTCCCGTCATATTCTACAATCTGTGGTAGGGCGCTAGGCGCACGGCCCAGAGCAGACGGGCGTTACCAATTATCCGGGTGGTGCTGGCAATAGTATCATGTCGGATGCATACGTCGCGCTCTACCTGCATGCACCTGCTCGCACCCTCTACCGTCCCTCCGTCTCCGTCCTGTCCTGTCCCTACCTCTTCTCCAGTAGTCACTGCATATCACGCTAGAGCGGCTACGTTGCCGTGGCTCTCACCATCACTCCTCTCCTCCGGTCCAGGATCCGTCGTCTGCTCGTACGTGTTGGTGGTCGCCGTCTTACCCCCAACACCCTCACGGGCATCGCCCCCCCCCCCCAAGGTTGGCACCTCGGACCGTGGCAACCACCACGTCGTCGTACCAGCTGTGCCCCTCTAGGTCCAAGCCAAACCCACCGGGTACGAGCTCTCATGCATGAGGTCGGTTTCCGTAGGGCCCTAGAGGCTAAGCGGGGCAAGCACCAGACGGCTCTCCTGTTGCGCCGACCTGCATCCATCCCATTGGGCCGCCTGCATTGTGCATCCGTCCTACAACCCGTCTGCCCCGTCTTCCGTCGACCGTTGCTAACGCCGAGTCGGTTGACCGGATCGTAGCAGCCGTCCGACCCTTCCTCCTATCCCGCCTTGCCGGGCACGGGCACACGCAAGAGGGAAGAAGCGCTCATGCCCAGCACTCCGTATTGCGTAACCGGCACAGATCTCGCCGACTTGTCATGTGCGCATATGCATCGTGCTACGCCGTACACTGCTGTGTGGAGTGCTCGTAGCCGGCACAGAGATCGGAAACCTCTCCTTTCCCGAGCTCCTTCCTATTCACGCATGGGGGCGATCGTGATCAGCTCAACCAGAGCGATACTCGATACTCCACCCCTCTGCCTCCACCCCTCTGCTTCCGACCCCCCCTGCGGGCTACCCGACTCCTGGCCTTGCCGGTATTGCCATATGTGTATCGATGTCCAATGCTTACCGGAACAATATCAGCACCAGCCTCTCGAGCCCGCTCTGATCCTCATTGCAATCCGGGCCTCCTCGACTTTCGTCCAATGTAGTCGACAACTTTATCCTCGTTGAGTTGCGGGGTTGTTGTTGTTGTTGTTGTTGTTGTTGGCACCTCGCGGCGTGTACCAGCTGTATCGGTGACCGCCATGGTTCTGCGTATACTCCGTAGTATTGCTACATTGATCTTTTCCAATGACTGGTATTGCCGACGGCGGTGTACGGGTAATACGTCGCTTCACTTCGTCTTCCCACAGGTGTAGATGTCTCCTTCTTGTGTACCTGGACCCCGGTACATTCAGCATGCTGGAGAAGACGCCGGGGAACAGGGGCCACATGGCCAACCAGCCCGTCCAAGAGACGAAGGTCAGACACGGCAAGATATCCCTAGTCTCCTAGGCCGTCATAGGCTATATCCATCGGCACGGAACACGAGAGAGACGGGGCACATCCAAGCTGAGAACGAGAACGAAAGATGATGAAGAGGGGGAGGACAAGACATGCATGTGCCCCCCCCCCCACGAGTCCAAGCAGCATGTAGCTCGACGGGTTCCGGTCAAGTTGTCGACAACTGGGATCAGACACGGCCGAGATCGGCATGAACCCTCGTCACCCCTCGGGGGCCGGGGCCAACCGTGCATGCATACAAGGCACGTAAGGCATATAAGGCGAGGGAATTGACTGATCGGCTCATCGGCTCAACCACACGGCCATGCTGTCCTTTCAGCCTTTCTCTTCTTCTTCTTCTCTCAAGCCTACGCTATTCAGAGTACACGATGATGCAGAGCACGGGTAGTGTAAGATCCTTGAGCCACGTCATATTCTAGCATGCCTTCTATTCTCCCGTATAAGAGAGCCCAGACTCTGCCCCATCCTTGATGCCCACATCACCTCTACTCTCTGTATCGCGCCTTTTTGCCATCATCAACCTATGCGCCCCGGAATCGTTTGCTCTTCTTTTGATTATCGCCGCACGACTGACCGTGCAAATGCTCCGATAAGTTCGTACGTCGCGAAGCAATGTTTTGCCGCGCCCGGGCGTCGACCCCTCTCTCTTCTCCTCCTTTCCCAGATCTCTCTCTCTCTCTCTCTCTCTCTCTACATATGATGGAAATTTGGGATTCTCCCTAAAGAGTACCGAGGTTTCGACCAAGGAAGTAGTAGTAGTAGTCTGTATCATATTAACTGCTAGTGATAGGTGCGAGCTCTGCCTCTTGTAACATGAAAACGAGTCCGAGTGGCAGGATGAAGGGAGACTCTCACCCAACAGAACAGGGAACAGCATTTCAGGATTGAGAACCAAAAAAAAAAAAAAACATGGGTCATTCTGGACTGGCAGAATAGATGTTCTCAGCTGCATCAAGTTACCAGAGCACACCATCATCGCTGTCGAATAACGCTACTACATCGTAGCCGATTTTCCGGGAGGAAATCGCCAGTCGACTAAACGTCTGATTCAACACTTTTTATATAGCTTTTTCTGTTTCTGCTTCTTCTATTATCCACATGTCCCTCGCCTTGGAAAAAAAACTAGAGCTTGTTCTCTAGCCTCCTCTCTTCCTTGAGCTTCAACAGCTTATCCAGGGCATCCTGGAGGGGAACCAGCTCCCCCTTGTTCTGCGTGGCCTGGTCGTCGCGGTTACGGATGTTGACGGTGCGAGACTCTTGCTCCTCACCACCGACCACTATATTGGAGAGTTAGCATCCGCCGCGCTTCCTCCCGATCGAAGACATGGATAAGAGGGGGGAGGAAGAGAGGGAAGAAGAAGAAGAAGAAGGGAAAGAGGCGGAGACGAGAGAGAGAAGACAAGGTATCGAGGACGAGGGTGTGATGAGCATACCAAATATGAAGTTGTACTGTTCCAGCTGACCGGTACGGATCTTCTTCTGGAAAGTGTTCGAGCTGGTGTCAATGTCAATGTACAGGCCCTTCTCGTGGAAGATGGACTGGATCTCCTTGGCGTAGTCGTTGAGCTTGGGCATGACGGGCACGACCAGGATCTGGCGGGGGCTGAGCCAAAAGGGCCACTTGCCGCCAAAGTGCTCGGTGAGGATGCCGATCATGCGCTCGAAGCTGCCCAGGACGGCTCGGTGGATCATGACGGGACGGCCGTACCCCTGGGGCAGGTCGGGGTCCTTGGCCGCCGTCTCGGGCAGCTTCTCGTCCTTGCCGGCGACGTAGCGGAGCTTGAAGCGCTGGGGCAGGTTGAAGTCCAGCTGGATGGTTCCGCACTGGAACTCGCGCCTCAGGGCGTCGTAGACGGTGATGTCGATCTTGGGGCCGTAGAAGGCGCCGTCTCCCGGGTTCTCCTCCCACTTGGAGCCGATCTTCTGGACGAAGCCGTCCAGGGCCTGGCGGAGCTTGTCCTCGGCCATGTTCCAGATGCCGATGTCGCCAATGTACTTCTCCGGACGCGTCGACAGCTTCAGCTTGAAGGTGAAGCCGAACAGGCCGTAGACCGAGTACAGGAAGTCGAACGCTCCCCCGATCTCCTCCGCGATCTGATCGACCGTGCAGAAGATGTGGGCGTCGTCCTGCTGGAAGCGGCGCACGCGCGTGAGACCCGACAGGGCGCCGGAGAACTCGTTCCGGTGGAGGACGCCAAAGTCGGCCATCCTCCAGGGGAGGTCCTTGTACGTCACGTCCGAGTGGGAGAAGATCTTGCAGTGGCCGGGGCAGTTCATGGGCTTGAGCCCAAACGTCTCCTTCTCCACCTCGAACGTGAACATGTTCTCGGCGTAGTGACCCCAGTGGCCCGACGTCTTCCACAGGTCCGACTTGTACATGTTGGGCGACATGACCTCCTGGAAGCCGCGCTTGCGGTACTGCTCCTGCATCAGCGTCATGAGCGAGCCGTAGATGCGGGTGCCGTGGGGGAGCCAGAAGGTAGATCCCGGCGACACCTCGTCGAAGAAGAAGAGCTTCTGGTCCTGCCCAATCTTTCGGTGGTTGCGCTTGGCCGCCTCGGCGAGGAACGTCTTGTACTCGTCCAGGGCCTTCTTGTCGGGGAACGAGATACCCGAGATTCGCTGGACCGACTCGTTGTCGCTGTTGCCTAGCCAGTAGGCGGCCGAGTTTCTGAGGACGGAGAAGGCCTTGATGTTGCCCGTGTGCGGCACGTGGGGGCCGCGGCACAGGTCGATCAGGGGACCGCAGCGGTACACGGTGCTCTTGGTGCCCTCGGGGACGCGCTGGTTGATGAAGTGGAGCTTGTACTTGCTGTAGCGGAACATCTCGACCAGCTCCTCCTTGGTCATCTCCAGACGCTCAAACGGCTGCCTCTCCTTGATGATGGAGCTGGACAGGCTCTCCAGAGCCTTCTTGTCCTCTTCGGCGATGACTCTGCCGTCCATGTTGGCCATGTCGTAGTAGAAACCGGGGGGGTCCTCGGTGGGGGGGCCGTTGCACAGGTAGCAGCCGAAGCGCTTCTCGCAGGCCTCGCCCAGGACATGAGCAGACGAGTGCCAGAAGACCTTCTTTCCCTCCGGGTGCTCGAAGTCGAGGAACTCGAGCTTGCAGCTCTTCTCAAGCGGCCGGACGAGGTCCCACAGCTCGCCGTCGACGAGGGAGATGATGGTGCGCTCGAACAGAGACTTGGAGATGCCCCTGGCGACGGACCCGGGCGTGGTCTCCCATGCAGTGCCCTTGTCTTCCTTGCCGTTGGGGAGCGAGATGGTGATCTCCTCGCGGGGCTTGGCTGTTCGTCGAGGTCACATTTCTTGTCAGCATCGTTCGGCGCGCGGGGTGCGTTGTCGTCGCATCTCGTAGGCAAAGAGGGGGGACTTCTACGAACCGGCAAGCTCGGCGTCGTTCCTCGCCTTGATCTTGTCAAAGAGGTCGACACGGTGCTTGATGAATTCGGGGAGGGTAGGCAGCTACGATGCACGATACCCCGCCATTAGCCAACGTTTCCTCTCTTCGCTCTTTCCATGCCGCCTTTCCTTCGTCTCGTTCTCCCTTCTTCCCCTTGACCGTCCTTGGATATCGGCCCCCCCCCCCCCCCCCCCCTCCCGTATATCGCAGCGCCCACCGCTCTCCGCCCACCGTCTCCCGCGCTTACCTCGAGGCTCTCCTTCTTTCCACCCTTGGCAGCCTTCTCTTTGGGTTGCTTGGCCGGCCGCGAAGGCAGGCTCTGCTGTTCGGCCGAGGCAGCGTCGGCCGCCGGCTTCGGGGCGTCGGCTTGCTGGGACGACATGCTGAGAAGAGATGGCGGCAGGTATTGCGGTACTCTGGCAACTTGCCGTTGGTGATAGGGTTCGATCGTCTTTGCTTCAATCTTTGAAAAGTACGAGTACTCGTGTAGAATGGAGGGGCAATTGGGCGAAAGGTGGGGGGGCGGGCTGGTTGAGTCACGCACGAATTTCATGCAAAACCCCCCCACCACCACCACCACACCACCGCCGATGGTCCCCCGACCACCACACAAAGACGGTAGATCTTCGGCATGTGATTATGCCGAGAAAACTGCTAGGAAGATGATCATCGCGATACATTCACCATTCAATTATCAATACGCGCCGGCGTCTTCTGCCCTGATATCAGTAGCAGTCTCCGTAGGGCTTGCCATCCCAATCTCGCAGAAACAGGACCCTGTGGTGAGCCGCGTGGGCGAGATGGTTGAGCACTGGTAAAACTAGTATCTGTCCACATATGCCGTATGAAAGCCACCATGCAGTAAGTGGCTGGGTATCGTCTCCTTCCCATACAAGACCAAGACGCCTGGAAATCTTCTCGCTGTTCTCGTACTCAAAGCCCATACCTCGTCACACACTCCTCGCGATGCGTGTCGAGGCAATCGAGCGCGCACACCCGTGTACCGCACTTCATGCACCGCACCCGGCCCCAGTATCCGCACACCTCGCAGAACACCCTCTGCGGCGGCTTGCCGTTCCCGTCCCACGAGCCCCTGGCCTCAAGGTACGTCAACGGCGGGTGCGCCAGCAATTCCCCCAACTCCTTGTCCGACGGTACCTCGGGCACGCGCGATACGAGCAGCGGGCCTCCCTCGCCAAGGTCCGCGTCCTCCTCGCCTAGGCCCTTCCCGGCCAGGTCTGGTTCGGGTCGAGAGGTGCTGTACGTGTCTGCGAGCAGCGACCCCTTCGGCTCGGGGCGCGAACGGCCCAAATCGTGGCTCGTCTCAGCCTTCGTCGCCGTGGGAGCATCTGCTGTGGGCGTGCCGTGCCGGTCCGGGACGGGGGCGGCGGCGGGAGGAGGGTTCTTGCCGTGACCACCGCCTGCTCGTCTGCTGTTTGCGCTGGCTGCGGCGGCAGCGGCAGCTGTTGCCTCGGCTTGCTGATGGGCTAGGAAGCCGTCTAGATGGTTGGCAAAGGTCTTTTGGGACTGCAGGATTCTTCGGACGGCACTGGTCTTTCCCTGTGCTGTCGCTGCCGTCAGCATTGCCGTCACACCCGGAGCTAGCAGAGAAAGAGAAGGGGAGGGGCAGCTCACATTTGTGTCCCACAACCGGAATGGTATTATCTTTGTTGCCGTCCCGCTCGAGGGCCTCGACTTCCTTTCGTATGCGGACCTCTTGTCGGGCCGTGAGGTCGTCTATGCTCGGCCCGGCTGGCGCGTTCCTCGCCCGCTTGCGGCTTCCCTGCGAGGCGCCTGTGGGATGTGCTCGTGTGTCGGGGACGTAGGCCCATCCCGGGGCTAAGGACGTCTTTAGACTGGCAATTTCGACGACGCCAAAGTTGTTCATTATGATGATGTGGGGCCAGAGCGAAGGTATTAAATTAAGCACAAGAGAGATCGGAGACGCGCTTGTGAATCTGGCAGTAAGAAACAAAAGAAAAAGAAAAAAAGGGAACAATTTGAATGATGACACAGCAACCTCGCTTCCCCACACGACGCTGAGAGGGTGGATACCGGTATCCCTCGCCCGAGAGTCCCTCCAGGTCCTGTATGTGCCGAGGCAATCCTGGATTTGGCAACTGCTCCAGCTTAGCAGCAATAAGTTACGACGTAGATCGGCAGCAACGTTATCACCGTGTTTTGTCCCTGTCTTCTAATCTTTCTCTTCTTCCCCTGCAATTTGCCATCAGGACCGAGATCCTTTTGGAAGCCCAGAATAGTTATATCGCCAACGTTGACCGCTATGGCTGGAGCAGTACGTCAGCCGATTGATGTCGAGGCGTTGCAACGGTACATCGGAGAGAAAATTCCCGAGATTGGACTTCCGTTGGAGGTGAAGCAGGTATGTCCTCGGCCCCTCTCGTCAAGTCCATATACCACTGTTCAAGAAGAGACGTCGGTATATGGAGACGGAGGAAGATAGATGCATGCTGACAATGGGTTTCCGGGTGAAAACAGTTTGGCTATGGCCAATCCAATCCCACATACCAGCTCATAAGCCCCGACGGGGTGAAATACGTGTTGAGAAAGAAGCCCCCGGGCAGACTTCTTTCCAAGTCCGCGCACAAGGTTGAGCGAGAGTATCGCATCATATCTGCTCTGGGGCCTACGGATGTCCCGGTACCAAAGGTGAGTGGGATCGCTCATCTTATCACACCCTTCCCCTCTACCCCTCTCCCGCACGTGTTGACGCTCTCCAGGCATACTGCCTCTGCGAAGATGAGTCCGTCATCGGGACGGCCTTCTACATCATGGAATTCCTCGACGGACGCATATTCGAGGACCCTTCGATCCCAGACGCATCCTCTGCCGAGGAGCGGTCTCGGCTGTGGCAAGCGGCGGTGCACACTCTGGCCAAGCTGCACCGCGTAGACTACACCAAGCTCGGACTGCAGTCGTTCGGGCAGACTTCTGGCTTCTACGACAGACAGCTGGCGACTTGGAAGCAAATCAGTCTCGTATGCTCTTCGCATCCTCTCTCCTCCCCCCTCTCTCTCTGACCGCACTCCTGACTCAACTCGAATCAGTCTCAAGCAAACGTCGTTGACGCGGAAACGAAAGAGTCGGTAGGGGCCATCCCACACATAGACTCCCTCCTCGCTTTCTTTGGCGACAAAGCAAACCAGCCGCGCGATCGGGCGACACTCGTGCACGGCGACTACAAGATAGACAACATCGTCTTCCACAGGGACAAGCCCGAGGTGATTGGCCTGCTGGACTGGGAGATGAGCACCATCGGCCACCCGCTGTCCGACCTGGCCAACATGATGAACCCTTACTACATGACTCCAGGCTTCTTCCCGTCGGATTCGTCTCCCGGCCTGCCCTCGCCCGACGCCCTCATGGGCTGGTACGCCGACGTGGCGGGGTGGGATCCGAGACCTGAGGCTGACTGGGCCAAGGCCTTTTCCATCTTCCGTCTGTCGGCCATCGCTCAGGGCATCGCGGCCAGGGTGGTGAGGAAGCAGGCTTCGAGCGCTCAGGCAAAGAGATATGCCACCATCTTCCCGAGTCTGGGAGTTTTGGCATGGAATATGGTGGAGGAGAGAAGATCGACGGCAGGAGCGGTAGCAAAGACGAAGCTCTGATCAATTGGCCGTGCAGCAGCAAGGAGCAGCAATAACAGCAGCGAATGCTACTACACTGCATATGCAGTTTGGTAGAAGAATCATGCCACCCCCCCCTTGTTCTTGACCTTCTCAACATGTACAAGTAACGTTCACTGCCCCTCCCTTCAAAGGAGGGGGGAAAAAAACAGGAAATGGGTACGTATACTCGTACGAGGAGTACATTCAGAATGGGGAAACCCCCATGCAGGGGCCAATACTACGGGCGACAAAAGGTCACCAAGATGTGAAACCGAATAGGTAAGGTACGCATGTGTAGAGGGGAAGGAAAAGGAAGGGAAGAGAAGAGAAGAAGAGAAGAAGTAAGAGTGTCTACCCGTAAACAAGTCAAAAGACAATGACATCTCTACTATTACCAATCCAAGGCCCCCTACCACTTCGGCCCCTTCTCTCTCCCCTCCCCCTCCCCATCAGTCCTCCACCCCCTCATAAATAAAAAAAGGGTCACCTGAGAAGGAAAGTGCGGAGAGAGGGTGGGAAAGCGGAGAAGGAGAAGGTCCCTCGCCCTCTTTCCGTGACGTGTATTACGAGGTGCTAAGACGGGACAGGCTCTGCTTGTGTGCGTGTGCTCCAACTTGGGGCTGGGGTCAATTTGTGGGGAGGCATTTTCCCCCAATCAGCGGTAGGAGTTACAGAGTTACCGACAGATGTACCAGGATGTATATCTGACTGTAGTACGTATTCGGATTGATTCCAATGGTGGAGAGGGAGGAAGAGAGAGAGACCGAGCGGGAGGAGAGCAAGAGCATTAGCCGGAGAGAGAGACGCGAGTGGACACTACCCATTTTCCCACTTGACCCGAGCCACAGCCGGTCGGAACTACCACCACCACCACCACCACCACGAAAGCTTCATTTGCGACTCACACTCTCTCCTCTTTCCCTCACAACCCTCTTTCTACACCTTCCTCAAAAAAAAACCCCCTCTCTCTTTGCGTTTTCCACCTCATCACCCTCACCTCTCGCCTTCGGAAAAACAACGAGAACTTCAAAAGAACTCACCTCTCCCCCATAATGCTCTCAGCTTCGAGACAGCTCGGCCCTCGCGCCGCCATGCTTGCCACCCGTCCCTTCCACACCTCTACGCGACGCATGGCCGGCGTTGCCGCCGCCGCCCCTCACGTTTCCGCTCCTCTGCCAGCCAAGAGGCCCGTGGGTGCCTTTCGTGGAAGGTGAGTTGCATATCCGTCAATCCATCTCGCAAGGCTCCGAGCAGTCAAGCTAACCAGGTTTTCTACCATCAACAGCCTGTTCGGCTTCCTCCTCGGTACCGCCCTGTCCGGTAGCGTCGTCTACACCTACCTGATTGGCGAGTACAAGACGTCCAACGATCTCCTCAGCGAGGATATCTACGTATGTCCCTTTCCATCTCATCCCTCCCATGCCATCTTGTCGACGTACAGAGCTAACGACTGACCTTCCCCCCCGGATATAGACTCTGCAAGCCTCCGTCTCCCGTCTCACCAGCTACGTTCAGAACCTTGAGCAACGCTTGGTGGAGAAGAAGAAATAGGCACAGCACACAGCATACACACACACACACACACACACACACACACACACACACACTCGCACTCACACCACATCAATTACTTTTCGGAAAGAGGAACACAGTAAAAATACCGGTCCATCGGGGAATTTCGGAACAGCACAAGGGAAGGAGGGGGTTGATGCGCGCAATATGTGAATTAACACCATGAGTTTACAAACTGAGCTGTTCTCGTCGATGGGTAAGGGAGAGGGGATGCGGTATGACGGAGGTTGCGAATTGGGCGCATGGGCAGAACGCACGTCTTTCCCATGGTGCGACAGCCTCTCGGCTGACCTTCCCGGGAGCTATACCAGACGAATTACCAAGACCCATCGGCATGGTCCTTTTTTCCTTCTTTAGCTTTCCTCTCTTCCTTCCCTTCCCTTTCCTTTCCTTTGCTTTTCTCTTTTTTTATTTTGTTTTATTCTGTTTTTTTTATTGCTCATCTGTATCATATCGGAAGCAGACAGACAATAGGTAGAGGACGGACAGATAACTGAGGGGATCAAAACAAGATATCTGTAACACGACAAAGCAAATACTTTTCTATGCCTTCCCCACTCTACTGACGAGGGCTCAAGGCTGTCTTTACTTCCACTGGCTCAAGCTTGTACTTTCACTATTGGTGAGGCGGTGCGGGAGCGGAGGGTTTGAGGTTTCTCGAAAAGGCACCAGCCATTGCACGATTGACCCAAAGCGCACGATATACATCCCTCTGCTAATGACTTGACCCTATTGGTGGAATCGTTTCTGTGTTTTCTCATGATCATGGTGTAAAGATTTGAAAAAAAAAAAACACATTGTTATCATTACTCTGGCGAACTGACCGTAGGGAATCCCAGCGAGTTTCCTGGAACCCAAGTCACAATAAGGGGAAACAAAGGTGGTGGATAATAGGATGATATCCTAGCGCCCATATGATTTGAGCAAACAAAACAAAAAGTCAAGGAAATTAGAAAAGAGACCGAAAAGAGAGAGAGAGAGAGAAAAGTCATAAGAAAAAAGAAAAGAGGCTCTGCCAGTAACATGTCATCTCACGCTAGTACACATGGTTCCTTCTTGCTACTCATAATATGGCTATTTATGCCTTCTTACAGCTCATCGTGCTTCTCCTTATCCTCCTTGGTCTCCTCCTTGGTCTCCCCGGTGGCGGCGGGGGCAGCCTCCTCGGCAGCCGGCGAAGCGTTGGCCTTGTACTTGCCATTCTCCTCGACGAACTTGATGAGGTCGTCGATGGTGCGGGGGCCCTTGTAGGTGACGGGAGCCTTCTTGTCACCGGCGGGGTAGAGCTTGATGGTGGGGAAGCCCTGGATCTCGTCGGGGACATCGTTCTGGGTGGCGTCGACCTTGGCGATGACGACCTTGTCCTTGAAGTCGCTGGCAGCGTACTGCGAGGCGAGGTCCTCGTACTTGGGGGCCAGGGCCTTGCAGTGTCCGCACCAGGGGGCGTAGAACTCAATCAGGACATCCTTGGTGTCGTCGAGGACGATGTCGGCGTAGTTCTTGGCGACGACGACCGTGACGGGACCCTCCTGGGTCTCGGGGATGGGCTCGGACTTGACGCTGGGCTCAAGCTTGCCGGCGACAAAGTCGTCGGCGAACTTGGTGATGGCGTCGAGGGTGATGTCGGAATCCTGGTCGAACGGAAACTTCTGGTTGTCCTCGGTGTTCTGGATGGCAAAGGCGGGGAACTTGTCGCCCTTGAGGTTCAGGTTGCCGGCGTGGGCGCCGAAAGCCTTGGCGTCGATAGTGCCAAAGTTGATCTTGCCCTTGTACTTCTCAGCCACGGGGCGGATGGCCTTGCCGAGCGACTCACGCTCCTCTTCAGTCTCGGCAAAGATGTAGGCCAGGGGGATACCGGCAGACATGTAGCCGGCGTACGTCTCGGGACCGATGACGCCAATGAGGGGGGTGGCCGACGTCTTGGCGAAGGTGGCGATGGCCGTCTCCTCGAACTTGTCGGTGAAGACGTCCTTGCCCTCGTCAAAGTCCTTGTACAGGACGATGGCGGGGGCCTTGACACCCTCGGCCTCGGCAACGGCAGCGTCGCCGACGCTGCCAAAGATGTAATCGTTGCGGAGAGAGCTGGCGACCTTGGAGAAGGCCTCGGCCGAGGCCTTGTCATCCTCGGAGACGTAGGCGACGAGGACAACCTTGTCGGCCGTCTTGAAGTCCTCGAGGGTGTCCTTGGTCAGGACGGATACGGCGGGCATGGACTGCTTTACCATGTACGAAGTGATGCTGTAGGCAATATCGCATCAGCCTCCTGTTTCGCCCCCGCCCACTTCCCGTCCGGGAAACACCTAGGAAACTTACGCAGGAGCCTTGCGCTGGCCAGTGTAGGGGCTGACATCGTCGAGGCCACGGAAGACTTTGAGGGTAGGGTATCCCTCGACACCCTGGCTCTTGCAGAGTTCGGCCTCCTCGGTGCAGTCAATCTTGGCGACCTTGATGTCCTTCTCCTTGAGAGAAGTGGCGGCGATCTCATACTCGGGGGCGAGGGCCTTGCAGTGGCCGCACCAGGGAGCGAAGACTGTACGACACCAGCATCGGTCAGCCAGCTGCACACGCTAGCATGCCGGAGAAGAATCGTGTGCGTCGATCCATGCGGTAGTCAAGAGTAACTTACACTCTGCGAGGACAATATCGTTAGCCTTGATGAAGTCGTCAAAGGTGTCCTTGGTCAGCTGGTGAACATCGGACGTTCCCTCAGCGTTCGCCATAGACGCGAGTACGGCCATGAGGCCGTAGGCAAGCTGCTTGTGAAGCATTGTGGCTGCGTTTGTGATCCGGTGACAGAGAAGGAGATGCTCCGAAGCACAACCGGGATTATACGAAAGGGGGACGAGGAAAGAGGATGGAAGAATGAAAGAGAGAGGGGGGGGGGAGGGGGGATGATGCAGCAAAACGAGACGTAGAGGACAGCTGGGAGATTTTGTAGCCACTTGTACCTTTCCACGCACAAGGCTGGGCTTTTTCGGGGGGGTTGCTCAGCCAGTGGCCATCTGTCACTGGCCAATGTGGTTACTGATCAGACTTGGGAAGGACAGGTGGAGGCGGCAGACGGGAACTGAGCCAGCGATCCTGAAGCTGGTGGATAAGGCCTGCTCCTTACGGGCGTACTCCTCCGCTGTAAACAGTGGGCTGGCGTGAGGCGTCGCAGAGCACTCGTGGGTGGTGGGCCGAAGAGAACAAGTGTCACCTTCTTTTGTCACCCGTTCCCATATTACCGGTCTCCAGCTGGACGGAGCCTACGGAGGAACGGTACGGTGGTGCACTCGTTTTATCATTACCTACTAGACGTATGTGGGGAGCGCGCTAGGTGGTCCTCTGAATGGCGAACGGCCCCTAGGCGCGTAACGAGGTACGACGCATATCGCTTAACCCGCACTCTTTACCTGCTTTGCCTCCCATACACCACGCCACATTGTGATCTTAACCCCAACCCCCCCCCCCCCCATCCCAAATTCCGTTCCTCGGTCCGATCAACCAACTAAACGTGGCTTCACGTCACTCTTTGCTGTTTCTGTTTCTGCTTCTTCGTCCACGTCGCAATCTACCCGACTAGTATCGAAAAAGAGTGATGACACGTATTTCTATTTCTTAGCATTACAAGTATGTGCGATTTGGTAGATGCCAGAAGCACGTATCGTTCACTTCATGGTAGTGGTACGCATGCAGTCTTAAAGTGTCTTTTATTACTAGTAACAGTAGTGTTGGTGTGACACTGCCGTCCAGGAGGGACAGGATGAAGCAAGATGACGCCATGAAAAAGAAAGAAAAAAAAGAGCAACAAAGGGTATTATATCTCACCAGGTCGCAAACCCCAACATAGAAGAAACAAAGAAGAGAGCAGTCTCTTGGTACGTGCCCTGTGTCCTTTTCCCACCCGATAAGCAATTCTATGCACCCTTCGCCAGATGCATCTCCCCTTTTTTCACTTATTTCCCCTTTCTCATCTGAGCGCTGGCAAAGTTACGCAGAGCCTTGAGAAAGACTTGGTAACCGAAGGACTCATTATCCTTGAGGCAAAAGATCTCCGTGAGACGGATCTGCCACGGCGGGTACCCAGAGAGCTGGACGTTGGGTCCGAAGAGGATGAGCAGGTCCGGCTCGGACATTATCCCCTCGGACAGCTCGTTATCGACCAGCTCCAGGGTGATATCTTTGGGGGACAGCTTGCCCTTCTGTGACATCTCGGCCAGCGTCCTCGTGAGGTCGACGACCGACTCCCTCCCGTCCTGAGCCGAGATGAGGTGGAGTCTCAGGTGGCCAAGGGTGCTGTTAACATCCGTGGACGAGTAGCCTTCCCTGTGGGGGGACGAGACCGAGAGAGTCGGGTGCTCGCCGCCGTAGTAAAAGGCAAGCTTCTGGATCGTGGCCTCGTAGACGCGGGGCATGTGCTTCTTGAGAATACCTGTGGAGTTTCGTCAGACCGTGCTCTGGTTGCCCTGTCTTCTCTTTCGTCCCGACTTACCCGTCTTCTCGTATATAGACAGCATGGGAATGTGTGCACACGCACACCAGGTAGCTAGTTCGGCCGTCTCGTCGATCAGCCGGTCGAGGTCGGCCGTCACCCTCGGGTTCTCCGACTTGAGGATGGCGCTGAGGTGCTTGGGCTTCTTGTTCAGGTTCATGACATCCCTCTGGATGTACTGCGGCGTGGCGTGGTGGTAGTACAGCACCGAGGACACCTGGTAGCAGACAATGTTCCATGACTGGCGAATCCGAATATAGAGCGAGAAGATCCCGTGCAGGATGGTCAAAACAAACACATGGACCTGGGTCCAGGCAAACTTGCGGATGCCTAGACGTGACGACCGCTGCTGGTCGCCCGACTTGTTCGATATTCTGGGTTGGCTCAGCTCCGGCAAAGCATTCTGCGCGAGGCATGTCGTCAGTATAGCTGTTCACATCATGCATGACGCGCTTGTTTGGATTGCTATGCTCTTACCCTCATGATGCGTCGCTTATCCGCATCGCTGAGGAGCTTGTGGTCATGGGCTTCATCGGCCCTGTAGACCTTCAAATCTCGGGCAGACAAGGGCATGGTGGGCGATTATGGAAGCCTCGAGAGGCTGGCTGACAGAAGACGTTGGATGGCACAGCACGATCGGTCGGTCGGGTTCGTTGAATAAGGCTCGTCGCGTGTGGACGAGGTGGTTGAAGGGAGTGGCGGGATGAGAGGGAGCCACCCTGGATCCTGGGTAGGGGGAGAAGGGGGGGGGGATGTGGTGTAAAATAGGAAGACGGGCGATGTTGGCTGACGCAGAGCTCTACACACGGCGGCCAAAAGGGCTGTGTGTGGCGGCTTGGGGTGGCTGTGATGCGATGTCCGTCGTCTTTCTAGTCGACGAACAGCTCGGCAATGACGAAGCCCTCCTAATAATGCCCCACTGAAGAAGGCGTCCATGTCGAATACGGCGTAATACTCACTGGGGCTTGGGCGTCCTGCCGCCCGCACCTGGGCTGTTGCTGAGGGGCTGGCTGGAGCCGCCCGCCAATTGAGGCCACGGAACGCTGCGTGTGGTTGCGCCACATATCTAAGTGATCCTCGCCCTTGGTGCAGTGGTGCTTAGCTGTGACTTTTCTCAGTGGGGCTGCCATAGTGGCTGATGCTGTCTTTTACCCGCTTGCTGGTCGCAAGTCGGTCCTATGTCCATCGTCACGCACACGTCTAGTCTGGCAAACGTGAACAGCATCCCCCATCTATTCCTCACAATAATAACCGAGCCCGACTTCTCCATCCGGTACGCTAGGGGAACGGCTCTTGGGGAGTCGGGGTTCCTAACGCACATGTAGTCCACACATATCGTGGTCTGTGTCGCTGGAAATCTCCCACATCCATCCTCCCTCCCTCCCTCCCTCACTCTGTTCCCCTCCTCTCCTCACCAATCATGGAGCGCTCAGCTTCGGGGCCCAAATCCCTCTTTCCTAAAGGGCCCAGCTTTACCTTGGACAACTTCTCCAACAAGGATTTCATCGTGCGCGACTTTGTCGACAGTCTCGCGGAAAGCGCCGTGCCCATCAATCGCCGGTCAGGTCCCGCCCAAGCTGCCTTCGACCCCAAACCTCTTATCCGGGCGTTTGAGAGTGCGTTTCCGCCCCCGAGACCTTGGCATAGGGACGACCCGAGTAACAAGCAAGCTTTTCATCATGGGCATACGCTAACGACTGCGACTCTGTAGGTGCACTCTCCCAACTCGGCCAACTGGGCGAGGAGCTGCAGGAGAAGGAGACAGATCTCCTGACACAAGTACGGCGTGCCGAAATTCAACATGATCAAACCCTTGAGGCTCTCGGAAATAAGCTTGACCAATCCATGAGCTCGTTTGAAGCCCTCGACGGGTCTCTGAACGCGGGAACCATCAACGAGTTCGAGCCAGGGAACAAGACGGACGGTGGTGGCAACGTTGCCGTCCAGATTGGCGAGAAGCTCGAGGACCTAGACCGGAAAAGGCGGCGGGCGCAGGACACGATATTCCTTATACAATGCTGGAACGAGGTCAGCGAGTCGGGCCAGCTCACGTCGCTGCAGGATATCCAGCGTCAGGGTGGCTCGGAGAACAAGATCCGATGCGCCATCATTGCGCGGCAGCTGATGAGGATCAGCCAGCGGCTAGACACCACCGCCTGGGGCAATGTCAATGGAGGGCGGAATGCAAAGGCGCTCAGCATCAATGGTGCCGCCAACCCGCCCAAGGCGAATACGCGCGAGGCGATTGAAAAGTTCTCGGAAACTCTGGAGCAGGACCTCCTGCAGCAGTTCAACAACAGCTACAGGCGCCAGAACTTTGATGACATGATGGAGTGCGCCAAGGTCCTGTACGACTTCAACGGCGGTTCCAGCGTCATTGCCATCTTTGTCAACCAGCACCAGTTCTTCATTGACCGCGACCAACTCATCGGCGACGATGTGGCTGCTGACGGCGAAACGTGGGACCAACTGGCCGATCCCGATGCCGAGCCCCCGGGCATTGACCCGGCCCTGCAGTCGCTAGTTGACGAGGTCAAGATTGTCATGCAGGAGGAGTCGTTCATCATCAAACGGGCCTTCCCATACTACGAGACAGTCCTGATCAAATTCATCCAGCGTGTCTTCCAGCAATCTATACAGCAGCGATTGGAGAAGGTCCTGGACAAGGCCGACACCATCTCCTCGCTCGCCTTTCTCAGGTCTCTACACTCGTCGAGGGCCTATATCAGCTCCCTCATCGAGGACCTGAAGACGCACGGCCTGACCGAGCACCCGGAGCCCTGCTCGGCCCAGATTGCCCAGACGCTGGACCAGCAGGTCGAGGAGCTCTTCATCCCCTACCTGGTGGGCAACTCATATATTGAACGCGAAAGAAGAAGCCTCGAGGAGACGTACAACTCGCTCCTCTTCAAGTTCACCATGTATCACTCGCGTAAGAAGAGGGGCCCGACAGGTTTCATGGCGTCGCTGGCGCAGCAGGGGACGCAGATCATGTCCACCGCAAAGGACGCCTACATCGAGAGATTAGAGTCATCAGATCTCACGCCCACGCAAAAAGCCATGATGCTGCGGGTTGCGGGTCTGAAGGACGAGGACAAGAAGAATGAGATTGAGCTAAGTGAAGAGGACGGCATGCTGAGCATAGCCAACGCAAAGCGCATGCTCAAGTGGCTCGCCGAAAGTGTGCAGCGCACCCTCGAGCTGGGGTCCCAGACGGACACGCCCAAGGACGTCAACATCCTGCTCAACCTCCTCCTCACCAGCATGGGCCAGGTCTACGTCGAGACAGCCCTCGACGCCGCCTGCTACCAGGCCACGTCGCTCGAGCACTGCAAGACAGAGCCGGACCTGTCATACCTCCCCGCGCTGCGGCCCGGCATATCGATCACGGCCATCATGGACCGCTTCATCTCGACGGTGCTCATCCGGCTGGCCGAGCCCAACACAACCGTGCGGCGGAGCATGGAGGCGCAGAAGAAGGTGACGGTCGACACCATCGAGAGGAAGGTCAACAACGTGATGCGCGTCTCTATCGACGTCATCGCCAACTGGGTGTCCAAGCTGCTCTCGTCACAGAAGAAGCAGGACTTCCGCCCCAAGGATGGCGAGCTCGAGTCGCTCCAGACACCGACCTGTCTGAGCATCTGCACTTTCCTAGCCCGCGCGAGCCGGCAGGCGTCGCAGGCCATCGACGGGCAAAACGCCGACAAGTTCTTCAGCGAGCTGGCCCTGGCGATACTACGCCTGCTTCTTGAGCACCTCAAGAAGTTCCAGGTCAACGCCACGGGTGGTCTCATGGTGGCCCAAGACACGGCCAAGTACCTGAGCACCATGCGAGAGTGGCCCCTCATCAGGGAGGTGGGCACGTCGGTGGAGCTGCTGACGGAGATTGGATCCCTCTTTATCGTGGGCCCCGAGGCATTGCGCGAGAAGACACGTGCTCTGGCGCCGGGTCCGACGGCGACGAGGGGTCACCTCAGCAAGGCCGACTTCAAGGCGTTCGTCCAGCGGAGAGACGACTCGGGAACGGCAGGTATCCAGAGTGTCCTGTCCGGGCTGTGATGGGAGTTGCCGTCTCCAATCTTCATGCTCCCGGTGCTGGTCAAGGGGGATGGATGGATGGATGGAGTTATATATATATATATATATACGATGTATACTTGCCGCTCTTCATGAATGCCATGCTAGCTTTTTCGTTTCTTGGAGACATGATACCATGTGGTCACCTCGAGCTGCGGACTCTGGTCCACAAGCTAGAAAAAAAAGGCGTCTTCAGGGGGGGGCGTCTTCCCCGGTGCATAGCCGCGTCGATGCCTCGTGTGTTGATCAGAACTCCCTCCGGAGCCCGCCGACTTGACCGGTATGCTGCTCAATCTTGTCATCGAGGAAGTCTATCAGCTCGACCATGCTCCCCAGCCTGTTGAGCTGCGCTCTCTCCTCCCTGCTGAGCAGGGCCTTCTTGTCAGAGCTCATGGCGGGGGAGCACATGTCGTGCACGTGGTGGAGGGCGAGCAGAAAGGGCAAGGGAGCACGGGCGGCGTGGTACATGAAGCGCTCGACAGCCTCCCAGGGGCAGGTCGCGTTGCCGGCAAACATGGCCGGGTTGGAGAGCAGGCCGCGGGCGGACATGAAGCCCGACAGGCCGGTGTTGGCGGGAGTCGGGTGCGCGCGGCTGCCGGCCCCACCATCACGGGGGAGGTTGTCGTCGAGGGACATGGTCTTGGACGGTCCAAAGGGGAGACGTCCGAGGTCGAACACGTCCCCCGAGAGGAGGATAGGCAGGGTGGACGAATACTTTGATACCAGCAGGTCGAGGGCCTCGGTGCGGATAGGGATGGTGGACGGCGTAGACCGCGTGCGGGGGTGGATGGTGATCCAGTCGACGTTGCGGCTGTGCGGGTGCCCCACCACCGTATCGATGAAATCAACCGTCTTGCGCAGATCGTCGTGCACGCGGATCTTGACGCTCACGCTCCTACCCTTGGGGCTGTCGACGTCGGCATGCTTCTCCACGGCCCAGCCGTCCCGGCGTAGGCCCTCGCGCGTCTCGACCACCATGTCGCGCACCAGTTCGCGCCGATTCATGAGTGCGGCGCCCAACGTCTCGGCGCATGCCCACGACTGGGGGCAGCCGCAGTTGAGGTCCACGCCGTTGACAAAGGGGGCCGCCAGACGGGAGGCACGGCTGATTTCCAAGGGGCTGTTGGCGCCGAATTGGAGGATGGTGGGGGGTTGAGGACCCAGTGTCGACATGGTTAGATCTATACGTACTCAGCCTTTTTTGACTCCCTCTCGATACCATGAGCCAAAAAAAATAATAAAAAATCTAAAAATAAAAGAGAGAGAGAGAGAGAGAGAGAGAGAGATGAGGAGATGATGGGGCCTTACCCCCGTCCCGAGCAAATGCGCTCCTGTTAAACTCCTTGGCGAGAATCATGGGTGTCCAACAGAGATCGGTGCCGTAGTAGTGGACCGTTTGGCGGAAGGCGAGCTACAGATGTGGTACCCTTCAGTCCGGAATCCCGAGGACAGGGGGGAGAGAAGGAGGACTGACCTTGGAGTATCGCACCATGGGAGCACATGCGTATAAGAATCTGCCCTGCTTCTTGGCCAAGTCGAACAGCTTGAGGGGACTTGGGATGACCATGTTCAGCCTCGAGAGATAGCATACCCTGTTCTGGATGTCACCGGTAACTTACTGGGTTGAGTCGCCATCGCCGCAAGAGGGGACCATCTTCGGTCCTTGCCCTAGGTTAGTCATGCCTCCCTTGAATTCCATACCGAGAGATCTGGGCTTGTGGTGAATGAGGTGAACGAGGTGAATGTCGTGGGTTTTTTTTTTTTTCGAGGCTATTGTGTTTATTTTTTTTCTTCCTCTATGGCGGGGGAGGGGCAAGAGAAGGAAGAGAGAAAAAATACCGACTACAGCCCACTACTCACTTTCCTTATTTCAGACAAGGCTTCTACCCTGTTACTCTTCTACGAGTACAATCTTACGAGCACAAAGAGTCATATCGACGGCAAATAGACAAAAATGTGCTCATTTCAAAAACAACCGTCGCCATGCACATTCTTCTAAACGTACACGTTCTAGTTCACTGCGCTTCTAGACGGCCCAGCCATGTCTTCATCTTCACCCCCCGACGCCAAATAAACTGTCGGTGTCACTCTCAATCCCATCCAGCTCCTTGCGAAGGGGCTCCGAGGCGAGACGGACCTCTGCGTCGCCCCCCCAACCTACCACCCCAGCAGACTTCAGGTTGGCGGCCGTAGACTCGTCGGGAAATCGCCTGCTACCGTGCTCGGGCCTCTCGCGCACGGTTCTTGATGCGCTCTAGGTCGTCGTCGGTGCAGCAGCACGTCAGCCACCGCCTGCTGCACACGTAGCAGAACTGATACGAGCACCGGCACGCCTCGCGGTGCTCTACCAACGCCTGGCATCGTCCGCACCGCTTCCATCCCTGCTCTTCGGCCAGCCGGTTCGTCAGCCGCACATCGTCGTCCTGCGGGCACATCTTCCCCCTGTGCGATGGGGCCCGGCAGGTGACGCACGTCCGGTGTCCCCTGCCGCATCGCCCCTCGCCATCCCGCGGCTTGATGCGGTCTGGCGGGATCCACAGGCTGCATGACGGACGGCCGCAGTACAGCCGATCTCCCGCTGGTATTCTCCACTCCCTCGATCGGTCCCGAAGCCGCTTCCGGAGCGTCGGATCGGGGACGTGTCGCAGGATGGTGCGGAACGGTATCTCCTCGAGACAGCACCTGGGCGGCCACTGCTGCCCGTTCCGCACCGCCGTCAACATCAGGGCTGCGAAGCACTCGTAGCAGTAATTGTGGCATGGGATCTCGACCGTCTTGCTCGCGGGGAACCTGTCGAGACACGAGACGCATCCTCTGCTTGCCACGACTCGTCAGCGTGCCATCAGCACAAGAGAAGTACAGCAGAGGAAGCAGGCATCTACTTGCACACCGGCAGGCTCTCCAGGCGCATCCAGACCTGCATCTGTCGAGATGCCGGTGATTGGCCTTTATCGGACAACCAGCACACAACTAACAAACAAATGGACAGATACAAATACAGCCACACGCACGCGCGCACACACACTCTCCCCATCCCTCGCCCCTCCTCTCCTCTCCTTCTTCCCCTTGCGTCTGAGCGTCAAGAGAAAGACGGCCTCAGGGTAAGCCACCGGCAATCGGGGTCGGCTACAGCTGGCCGGGAACGCCTAGGATGAGTCTTCCCCCACCGTCCTTGTCTCTCGGCTGCTGCTTCCGCTAAGCCTGGGCGTTTTTCTCTTCTCTTCATCTTTCCGTCCCCCCTCTCTCGAGAGGGATGTAGCTGGGCGTCGAGATCAACCCAACAAAGCGGCGGTCCAGTAAGCCACGTGAAGTCCCCTGACCTTTTTTTTCGGTATTTTTTTCCCCGTTGTTTCCGTCATTGTATAGGTAGAACGTCCGAGGCTTAGGGACGTCTTATTTTATCCAATTCGGTATGTTGAAGTAGTTGACGCCGCACTTTTCGTTTGAGAATTGTCATGTGTGCATCGAGAACACGTAGAAGGACCGAACCACACATTCTCATCATTGGAGGAGCAAAATAATAATAAAATAAGATAACAAAATGATAATAAAAGAAGAAGAAAAAAAGACGCAGGCCATGCAACCAAGAGAGTGTGAGTGTGCACGCGTATCCTCAGAAATAATATGATTCGTCTCCGTACCCGTCCATCTGCTCTCATTCTCCAACGCTGGAAGTGGTCGCTGTCCGCAGAAAACGGGGAAGATTGAGAGCCGGTTTCGGCGCTGACTGGAACTGCCGAGTCGGAAAAAAAAAAGTGCAGCAAGGCGACGCCCCGGGTCGGACGGATCTGGCCCGTAGGAGGCGGCACTGCCGGAACTGGCTTCCTTTCCTTGAGCCTTGGATCTCGCCCACCATGTTCCTCGAGGTGAGGTGGTCTGCTCATGTGCGCGGAAGAAGGCTTTTCGTCTTCAATGCATGCGATCTCACGTTATCAGTGGTTGGCACACAAGACTGTGTGAGGTCGGGCGTTGAGGCTGCGAACCGAATCATGTACAGGTCCGACATCACACCGTACATACGTATCGAAGAACGGAGATTGAGGGGTTATGTCGAGGAGGTGCATACAGAGACGACACTGTCTCGGTCGCCGAGCGTAGCGCAGCATCGAAGGAACGGAACGGAAATTGGTAGGGTCACAGAAGGTCTTTGTTTGTAGGAGAGAGAGAGAGCGAGAGGGAGAGAGAGAGCGAGAGGGAGAGGGAGAGCGAGAGGGAGAGCGAGAGGGAGAGCGAGAGGGAGAGAGAGAGGGGGCGGGGGGGGG